GGGATGCAAAGTAAACAAACTCTAGTGCTTGCATTCAAGGTAATTATAATGAGGTGAGGGAGATGGCAGTATAAACAGATATATTTTTAATTTTTTTCCACTCAAATATAAAAAGCTACTTCTTTGGTCTACTTCTAGATTTGGTAAAGAAGTCCATTAAAAGTTGTCATATTCATTTATGATTTCTATAACTTTTAAAATCATGTATCCTCCAATATAAATTTCCCTTTTTCAAGATGAACACATTCCCTATTTTTAACTCCCTGATACAGAAGTCATCCTGTCTTTCCTAATTTCTTTTTTAAAAAGCCTCCATTAGTCTCTTTTCTTAAAGTAAAGTGACCATAATTAACCACAATGATTCTAGGGTGTACATGTATTTTTGTATTTTTGCTTACTGGTTTTTTTGCTTTTTTGGGAGTTCAGTATTTTCCAATGTCTTTCTTGGTGATTTACCAGGAGGACCAAATATATATTTGGCCTTTTAGGCTAGCACATAAAATTTTCATTTTCATCCTCAAGAAATAATTTATGATGACTCCCAGGTTCTTCTCCTTGTTTGGCTAAAGACCCTGTAACTGACATACACATGGTTCCAGCTCCTAACTATGAGCTGGTGATCCACAGATCTGCATTTCTAGCCCAGGCTCTCCTGTGAAATCTAGATCCATGTATGGCATATTTTCATTTGGATATTATGCTGGCATCTCTCATTTAGCAGATGAAAAAATGTACTTCACCTTTTTCTTCTAAACACATTCAGTCTGTGTTCTGCACCTTGGTGAATATATCGCTGTGTACACATTGCTGAAACAATTTTCTAGATGCTTCTAAATACCTCTTCCCACTCTCCCCCCATCTAAATATCACAAAGTGCTACTATTTTTACCTCCTGAATATTCCTGGACCCATCCTGCTATAGCCTAGCAATGGTGTCCAATGTCCAGGCACTCATTGTCTCTTGCCTGGTTTATTGCCTGGCTGCAACTTCATTCTCTCTGATCTACTAAGAGGTCACTGCTAGAGCAGTCTTTGAAAATACACATCTGAGCTTGTTGATCTAGCATTCTTTAGCACGGCATGTGAGGTATCTCCTGCTTACCTTTCTAGCTGGGTTCACCACCATTCCCACTCAGGTTCCCTGTACTTGTAATGCCGCCTGCAGTGGCCTGCATGCTCCTTGCTCGGCCGCCCCACAGGCCTGTGCACATGGTCTTTCCATTGCTTGTTGTTTTGTTCCACATTGTTCACAGGGTTAAATTCTACTCACTGGTTAAGAGTCACATCCTCTGATAAATTTTCATCATCCCCTCAAGCTGAGGGACTTTCTTCTATGCTGTGAATAACTGTATTTTAAATCCCATATAAATGTGTTTGTTTCCTCTTCTGATCTGTAAGGCCTTATTTTTGCATTCCTAACATTTAACATACTGCCTGATATGTAGAAGGGCTTAACAGAATTTGTTGAATGAATGTTTGAATTAATTAACTGATAGCTTAGAGCCCTCCATTTTTATACTTCGTGATCTTTAAAATCCCTAAATATATTTTGTTCTCTTGCCAGGGTTAAAACTCATATGTTGCTTTTCAACCCACTTGCACAGACTTGTAAGGTCTTCTTTTTTAATCCCATCTGTGTGCTTCTTCATCAGCTGGAAGTATTTAATGTCTCCTTAACTTGGAAATCTCGTGAGCTTTTTCTTCTGGAGCATTTAGAAAAAGATATTAAATAAGTATCAGTCCCCAAGGAGCTGAATTCTGTACACTTCTTTGTTGAGAGAAATCCGTAGGTGACCCTACCAATTCCTATTTTTTTTCTACCTGGCTTAAAACTTTAGCATAAAGAGACAACCTTTAAACCCATGGTATCATAAAATGAAATAAAACAACCACAAACACTGTTACAATCTTTTGTTTAGGACAATAGCATTCAGTAGTTCCCCTTTTATCTATGAGCTTATTTACTACATTAAATTTATACTTCGGGATGTCCTTTAGGAGAAATGGCCTTGCCCTCTTAATTTCCCTTACCCAAACTCTGTAACCTGATTTCTTTCCCCAACCTGCTGCCATCATTTGTTATTTTTGTTATGTGCACTGAACCTGTCCTTTCTCAAGGCTTTATCAACTTGTTACGTGGGATATCAGTGCTCATTTAGATTCAGTTATTGCCTTGGGCAGGATAACAAAGCTTAGGCACAAAAGCCAAAATACATTAGAATTTTTAAAATTCTGAAGTTCCTATGAGATTAAAGTTATTACAAGTAACAGATTTATATAGCTGTCATCAGAGTAAAAGAAATATTTAAAAATTTAATCTTCTTTGTAATAATATATGTTCATAGGCCTTTTTCTTTCAAGAACTACCTAAACATTGTCCCTGCCATCCTAGAAAAGTGTTATGCGTAGGTCACTTCAGAGGTAATTACATAATTAGTTTTGTTTATACTATAATATGTAGAGAATTTTCTCCAGCCTTTTCTGAATATTTATATCTTCCTTGTTATTCCTCTGAGGAGAATGTATCCTTTCTAAACATTAAATTATTTATCCTCCAAGTCATGCTGAGAGAAATGTAGGTAGTGCTATGAAATGGGAGGGAATATGGAAATCATTATGACCGTCACAGGACAAAAGCAGTGCACTCAATTTGATACATTTCAGGAAGAAAACAATTCTGTACTCTTTCTATGATTCTCTACTGCTCTCTAAGTATATTCCATTTCTGATGTGCTACTTGCTCAGTCTTGTGAGAGAGTTGGCAGAAGTATCATTATCCCCATTTTTACAGATGGGAAAACAGACACTGACAGAGTAGATGACTTGCCCAGCTCCTGGTGCTAATGACAGCTGAAGCTAGAACCCAGACCAGAAACATAAAGGGAAAATTGAATCAAGCCAAGGAAAAGTGTATTTTCTTGGGTAATTAGTGAGTATAAACTGTGTGTTCATGGCTATTTCTAACTGTCCTCCCTACATCTTGTAAAGAAGGTTATCTCCCCCAAAGCCTGCATGAAGTAGCAGACAGCCTTTATTTTCAGAAAGGAAGGGACTAAAAATACAGTGGTGCAGCCTTTCATTAACCTCAGGCAACATTATTCTCGGGTAGCAGAGTCTTAGGAATAAAGCATAGGGTTTGCATTCAGAAGTCTTAGGTTCAGATCGCAGTTCTTTTGCTGGTCTCTTAATCTCCTTACACTAAATACCTGTTCAGTTAAAAATGGGGCTAATAACACCAGCCTTATTACCTCAAAGGTTGTTATGATTATTAATAAGATACTTCCTAGAATCACTTCATGAACTGTAGGTCGCTGTTCCTTGTCCTTATATAGTAACAAATAAAGGAAATCCTTGCTGTGCTCAAGAGTACAACATAGTTGTTAGAGCCTAGCAGTTATACTGACTTGGGTTATAGTACAAGAAATGCCGCTGTCTAACTCTGTCACTTGGCTCAGAACTTAGTCTCTCTCTAAACCTCAGTTTGTTGCTATATAAAATGGGAAATAATATATCTATTATGAGTTTTTGTAAGAATTACATGAGATATTATATATGGAATGCATAAACTATTGGTATGTCCCTTGAATCAGTTTCCCTTGAATTAGACAGTACAAAGAGTTCCCATCTACCTTTCTCTTGGTTTCCTCCATTGTTAATATTTTACATTTGCCATAGTAACAAACAAACATTGATGCACTGCTATTAACTGAACTTCAGGCTTTATTTAGACTTTACCAGTTTTTCCATGAATTCTTTCTGTTCCAGGATCCAATCCAGGGTACCATATCACATTTAGTTGTCCTGTCTCCCCAGTCTCCTCTGGTCTGTGACAGTTTTCCAGTCCTGTTGTTTTTCATGGCCTTAATAGTCTTGAGGAATACTGCCCAGATATGTAGGATGTTACCTAATTTGATTTTTTTTGTTGTTTCTCATGATTGGACTGGGACTCTGGGCTTTTGGAAAGAATATCAGAGAGGTGAAGTGCTCTCCTTATCCCAGTATATAAAGGGGTACATGATATCCATGTGACATCTTTGATGATCGTGTTAACCTTCATCACTTGGTTAAAGTAGTGTTTGCTAGGATCTTTCACTGCATCTTGAGATAGTTTTGATCAACTATCACTTATATTGGACTTTCTCTTTCCTCTCTTCCCACTGTTTGGAATACTTTTATTTATGTTTACTGCAAATGTCATGTCTATGGAAATATCTTCTCTGATCAGCCAAGCTAAACTGGCTCTCTCTTCTCATGTCAGTCTTTATGACATTTCACCTTTGTATTTTCTTCATAGCATTTATCATTACCTGAAATTGTCTTGTGAATTTGTTTATCTGGTTTAGTATTTGTTGATAGGCCCTCTTCCCCTCAAGCAAGAACATAACCTTCAGGAGAACAAGGTCCTTATAGAATTGTTCACATCTGTATTGTTGACATCTAGCACAAGGCTGGCATATGGGAAGTAGTCAATAATTATTTGTTGAATAAATGTCAAGGAAAGAAAGATCCAGGACTAATTTATTAGTAAGTATTTCTGAAAAAAAAAAGTGGAAAATAGCTTAATGGTGGGAGGTTCAGTTTAGTATTATTAACTGAAATGGTTTAGTTTTAATGAAAAGGTTAAATGCAATCATCAGCATCTATGGAAATAGGTAATCAGCATCTTTATAATTCAAGTTCTCTTATAATACACTTCATAATATGAATGCCAGAGTATTTTTCTGACTTATAAGCGTATGACTGACAAATGTAAGGTCTACGCAGTTAGATCTGCACCATTGTGACCTTTATTTGCTAATTAGTTCAGCTTTCCTATTTCAGAACTTGTAACAGAATCTGAAGGAGTGTAGAAATAACTGAGGCCTTTGATTTTAACCTATAGCTGACTTCTCAGTGTCTATTATCTTTTCATTTATTTTGACAGATAAATGGGTGCCTTTGTATAAATCTTTCTTTCACAACCCATTGTAAGGAAGCTCTCTTTTTATTTTCCTCCACAGGACTTAAAATCTCCAAATCAGAGGGATGAAATTGCAGGGGCCCGGGCCTTGTTGAAGGAGAACTCCCCACTCTTGCATTCAATTTGTTCAGCTTGTTTGGAACATTCTGATGTTGCCTCCCTGAAAGCCAGCAAGGACACAGTTTGTAAAGAAATTCACAATGCCCTGAATGTAATTTCAAATGCTTCACAAGGCATCCAGAATATGCTGACCCCACCAGAACCTCAGGCAGCAACCCTGGGAAGTGCCCTTGATGAGCTTGAGGTAAGTTGAGAGAAAGGTAAAATGTGATTTATGTCCCAATATCAAAATAAATAGTCACGTGTTTTCAGATTCATGTGTTGGAGTTTTGAGTATGAGTAAATAAAAATCCAGTTACCCAGTCAGTTTCTGTCATCTTCTTGTGTCTTCCAATGAATTGATTAGCAGGAGAATATTCTATCAGTGGACATCTGAGTCCTCTATATCTCTGTCAGAGAAGTCAATGAATTTGAATTCAAATTGTTAATTAGATTGAAGCAATGGTTTTATTTTACATAGATTAACTTATGAAATGTAGGATTTATTCATTTCACATATACTGTTCTTTTAGTGGTTGGAATGTAATTAATTGAGTACTGCCTTAGTGAAGCTTACATTTGAACAGGAGAATATGGGCAAAACCAAAAAAATATAAACACTGTAAATAGGTGAATTGTATAAAATGTTATCTTGAGAAAGTGAGATGTTATCAAAAGCTTGAGGGAACTTAGAAAACACGTAGATAGAGCTCTAGAACAAAGGCTTGAAGATATGCCTCCAGTGTTTAAGTGACAGCACAGAAGGCAGGGCGCATGAGTGGGGAGAAGGAGGGAATGAGTCGCAGGAGCTGAGGTCAGAGACCCAGTAAGGCCAGGTTATGGAGGGCTGTCTAGGCCTTTGAAGATTCTGGGTTTTTCTGCAAGTTAAATGGGATCCACTGTAAGGTTTTAAGATGAGGAGCGACACACTGTAATTTGAGTCTTAAAAGGGCTACCTTGGCTGCATGTGAAACCTAGACTGAAGGGGAACAAAGGGAGAAGGTGAAAAGCCAGGCAGAAGGCTACTGTAGTAACACAGGTTCTAGCCTTATACTTCACATGCACCACCACATGCATCTCCATTTCCATTTTAGTTTGGACCAGGAAGGCACCAGAGAATATTAGGGCTGAATTTTGTTGAATAGAGCCAACTGGATTTGATGGAATGGATGTGGTATGTGAGAGCAAGGGAGGAATCAACTGCATTGCTGGCTGTGTCCTGCAGAAGCACACAATGGGCAGAGTTTAGGATACCAGGTATTATTAGGATTTAACATGTGTGAAGGGAAGAGGGAGGGAGCAGGACTGAACAGAATAAGAATTTTCCCTGGGAGCCAGGCCTGCAAAGCCTGGGTCAATCAGCAGGGAGCTCTGGAGAGAGTGGGGTCCTTGAGTGTGCTTACCAGGCAGAAACAGTCAGGCTTTTACACCTCTTCCACTCACTGGAAGCAGGTTCCCCCACCCTGGGAAGCATATGATCTTCAGGGATGGGGATGAGGAGCAGCTCCTGCTGCTGAGGCCAGACCCTGAAAGGAATTGACAGCTAGGTTGTCTGTTGGCCTCACCCCCCACAACTGGGCAGCAAGTCCTACTTGGAAAGGGAAGTACACCTCTGTGTCTACTAGAGAATTACACGGTTCTGTGTTTTAGGGTTCTTTTTTTTGGCTTGAGTCACTGGATAGAAGAAGTTTTCATCAACTATGATGGGGAAGACAGGGTGAAGCCAGGTTTGAGTGGAAGATCAGAAAGTCAAATTTCAACTTGTTGAATTTGAGATATTTATCAGACATTCAAGTATGATGTCAGAGATCATTGGCTGTCCAAGTCAGACATGTAGTTGCTTACTGGGAAGCAACATAGTGTAGAGCTTAAAAATAAGGATTCTGGATTCCAAATACTTGAGTTCCTCCTATTCACTTACCATGTGATCTTAAGAAAGTTATTTTATTTAATTCTCAGTTTTCTTACCTATAAAATGGGGATAATAATAGGACTTACAGTGTTGTCAGAATCATTGAATTAATAATACATATAAAATGCTTAGAGCAGTGACTTGCACATGTTAAGTGCTCAGTAAATCTTAGTTTTCACTATCATTAGTGGAGATGACTATCTTGAAGCAGATCCTTCCATAATGAAGAAATAAATGCAGTTAAAACCTCTAAAGTGTCACTAATAACTTAAAAAATAAACTAAGCACATAATGTGTAATTCTTATATTGTTCCAAGGAATATTATTTTCCTGATAAACTTATCATGAAAATTCAATTCATTTAAATTTAGAATAACTTTTCTATATGCTTTTCCTTTATTTACATGTCTTTAAACAGATGTCTTCATTTCTAATCTAGCATCATTAAATTCTTGATTTTAGCATCCATGTTAAAATTTATTAAGTTACAAATTATTTGAATCTGTGTGAAAGTTTTAGGAACTATTTGTTTAAATAAGGTAGAAGATAAGTGGTGAATCTTTGACACTACCCCATCACCTAACTGAGTACCAAGCACTCTAAACTTGTCTATTATCTGCTGTTTTGTCTTCATAATAAGATTGAAAACTCCTTGTGGGCAAGATTATGTTTCTTACTAACTTTGTGATTCTAGCAAAATATTAAGTTCCCTATACATTAAATGTGACATTTCTTGATAGTTAACACTTAAGATGAATTTGTCACTTAATTATTACCACATCCCTATAAGGTAAGTATTTTTATTTTTCTTTCACAGAAAATAAGACTGATACTTCTGTAAGTTATGTAATTTGCTCAAGTCAGAAGGCTGGTGAGTAGCAGCTGCCAGGATATGGATCTCGTCTTTCAGATTCTAGAAGATATTTCTAGCTTCTGTGTTGTATTGAATCTCACAGATAGAACTTAATGTGCTTCATTAAAATTCAGCACAGTTTACCTCAGTTTTTAGTCCATATGAACCATCAGAGAAATTAGAAGTAACCATATTCAAAAGATGGAGTAACTTCTTAGTGAAAAGGCTTTGTACATGTGTCATCCAAGTAGAAATAGTCTCTTTTGGGAAGTGGCTAGTATGGTGAGGTAAAGTCTGTGTATATGAGGGTGAAATAGGATTATATATCACGTTTTTCATTGGATTGGCTGAACAGGATTGTGTCAGGAAATGCTTGCGTAAGAGGCCCAGTTTATCCTAGGCTCTGCATTTTATATTAGGATTATAGAAGAAGACAGATTTCCATATTATTTTTTCTTCTGGGATTTCTTCTCTTTTCTCACTTTAGTTGAAAGTGACTGCTGCAGGCAAGAAATGCCAGTGGTTGGAGAGAGGAAGAGAAAGTGTATGTGCATGTGTGTGTGTGTGCGTGTGTGTGTGTGTGTGTAGCTTTGATGGGAGTGGACATAGACATAGTTATGGAGTCATCCTTTTCTCAACATAAGTGGCTAACTTCTTCTGAACAAGGTCAGAATCCCAAAGATATTTCCCTGGAATCCTTACTGTTTCAACGGCCTTTGAAATTCAGTTTCAGTCAAAGATAAAGATTCTCAAGCTAGTACAAAATGCCTGAATTATATATATTTTTCATATATGAATTATAAATAGCTACTAAGGCTGTCTGAACTAGATAAAGCAGAATTTATTGAGCATTTAGCCTTTTTAAATGACTTTGTAAATTAAATGGTTGCACTTTTCTTTATTTACAGAAGGTTGTCTTGGTTAAAGGATCCAAAATAACCTTTGTTCTATCTTGCTTCTGCAAATGTAATACTATGAAATAAATTGATGTAGTAAGTACTCTATTGGGAGTAAGTCTCATTAAATGTTTATACTGTGGAAATGTATCAGAGCACTTATTCAACAGCTACCATGCTGAAGTTTTGTTAAATCTTGCATTCTGGTTCATGGCTGGTTGTAGATACGAAAACCTGAGATTTATTGGTGAGAAAATAGAAGTTGAATTAGAATAGAGTTTGTACAGGCTAAATTGATTGATTTATTAGAAAAGCTAATGTGAATTACAGGGTGTTCCTCCTGTATTTGCAACTGAGTGAGCATTGAGAAGTGTCAAATTGTAGATTAACAGAATTGTGAAAATATCTTTAAGCAAGCAAGAAATTTTGCTCATGAAAATTGCTTTGAAACTCCAGGTCCACTAAGGCACATTTTGTCTTGGGCAGAGAGTAAAACTAGCTGTTGTAATCATGGTCCACAAGAGTTTTGCAGATGCCCTTGTGGTAATGATGATAGTAACAAAGGAGTTTTGTAGTATTTTCTCATTTTCAAAGTGTTGTCATATTTATTTTCATTTTAAATATATTCATTGATGTATCATCATTCATTTATTTAGTTATACATTGTTGTAGCCCCAATAACCTATACATAGTAACTTCTAAATTACAGCTAGAACAATAACCTATACATAGTAACTTCTAAGTGAATATCAATGAATGAAGGAAGGAAAGAATGAATACAGGAATGCTGTATGTTGTTTCGTAATTTGGAGCGAAGAACATTTTTTCCTTTATTTCTGTTTTTCCCTCTTTTCTCCAATTGGTAGTATATCTACTTGGGGCACTTGGCTCTACTTTGCTTAATTTTTAACTGGGGGACATGAATTTATAGTGAGAGAAACCACTAGAAACATATCTAAGTGATATGCTGCTCAGATTCTTTTCTCTGATAGGAGAGCACAAAGAGAAAAAGATCTGTTCTCAGAAGCTATCTAGCTTTAGCTTAGGTTCCCTGCAACTGCCAAGATATGATGCCTTTTACTAATAGTAATAGTTTTGAGGAATATAGTCCTTATATTGCTATGTTTTCCTATATTCTTATGTTTCAGAAAACAGGAGCTCCCTCAAACAGATTAGCATTTAGGAGCTAAAGGAAAGTAGGCATTACTGATATCTAGAAGCACTCTAATATGATTCTGAAAAAAAAGATTTGGTTTCTAGAAATATATTAAACTAACAGAAGCTTAAAGTGATGGATAAAATATTTTTAAATACGTGGATATCTGATAGATGAATGAGCAAAATTTGAGGCCCATCACATACGAAGAACACAAATCCAGACTAGGAAGTCAACACCAGCATTGTGTTGGGAGATGTGGGAAACTTCTCTTCCACATTGTTATGGTGACTTATAGCTTGGATTTTGAAAGACCATGAGTGGAGGACAAAAGACAAAGCCTATATTCTGCCAGCTGGAAAGTCAGATGATACCCTGGCCTGAAGCT